GTGATACAAGAGACCTACCGAGTGCTCGACACATTCGACAGTGGCCGAGGTCTGCTCGTACTTGGGTAACTGTTGACATCATCAGCAGCATTAGAGACTGGGCTGCATGGGATCTGACATTAGTAGTCTGGGCGACGAGCGCCGGATATGATACCTATTCTGGTTCTCCGTTGATGATGATGGGACTATGCTAAGCATTGCCAATTATAAGCTCATAGTGTCTTCTTAATTGCTGAAAACTCGTATTGCAATCCTGCTTTGGTTCGAGAGCAAGACTACTTGGTTTAATATGTATGATGCTGCTTGACTTTGGGATTCGCTATTGATCATTTTTTTTTCCTTGCAACAGTCAGACAAACAGAACGCAGTTAAACAGACAAATATCCACAAACAAATGACGTCGACGGACAGATTGGGGCAAACAGGCACAGTCTGGGACAGTCATACATACACTGGGGCAAACAGACCCAGTCTGGAACAGTCATGCACAGACTGGAACAAACAGGCACAGTCTGGGACAGTCATGCACAGACTGCGGCAAACAGGCACAGTCTGGGACAATCATGCACAGACTGGGGCAAACAGACCCAGTCTGAGACGGTGAACACACAACCATGTCGTGACCTCAAAATGTTGCATATAGTGACGGATCTTGTAGCGCAGCGAAGAGGGAGAGAGAGCAGGTAAGTCTTCAATCCTAGGACAGTCTTCATGGCACTCTCGTCCACAGGATGAGTACAATCAAATGAATCTGTTGTAAGAACAAGGAAAAGCATACACTTCTACTTGTGTGTAGATGTACGTATGTCTGTTTATGTGCGTGTGTGTGCGTGTATGTATGTGAGAGAGAGAGAAAGAGAAAGTGAAAACAGGCAAGCATGACATACCTACAACGTTGGCTGATCAGATACGAACACTAGTGAACAGAGTGAGATTGAGATTTTCAGCCAACAGGTCGACAGGACAATATTCCTCAAGGAAATGCAGAGTTTTCAGTTTGCGACCATGTGGGTCTTTGGGTACAATGAAACATGCACAAACACAACAGACATACACAGGCACCGTGACACTTACACGGGTGACACACAAACACACACACTGAATGAGTATGTGGGGTGGGTTTTATGGCATTGACAGATTGGGTTTTTGGACTTAACCACATTCTCATCAGGGGTTTGGACCGACAGCCTGCTAGCATTGCAGGGCAGGTGTGAGTAAAGTGTGGACCACCTCCATCTCTCAGGGGTATGCTAACTCTGTTCAATACAGTGTGTCCTTGTCCATCAGTGGAATATATCATGGGAAGAAGGTTGGGGACGTGTGATGCACCGGTCGAGGGCGTCGTGAGGATGGGTCTGTCATCCGCCCAGCTCATTGGGATACACGCCCTGCCTGTTGTGTCCCATGTTGTGGTCTCCACGTGCTGCACATTGTGACGGATCGTGTTGCATTACTGCTCCGATGTGTTTTGATAAAAGGACGGACAAACAGACARCACCGACAGACCAACGGACAGACAACGGAGACAGACAAACRGACAGATGGATGRACCTCAACGCACAGGTGTAGTAAAAAAATTGTGAGACACMCCGGTCCCCAGTGAAATACAGTGCACAGTGAAAACACACAGCAATGCACAAATGCACAGTCATGCAGYMACCGAGACAAAGACATAGATACACAGTCCTAMAGATGTACAGTGGCATACGRRGAGAGACARYGATATTCCGARAGAGTGTTACATYGGGTTCTGCTGAYAGTGTAGCCGCGGTACTTGGGTGTTSACTYACAGTTCTGCTATACCATTTCTCATATGGGTGATTCTTGAGGCACTATCAGCTTGACTGCTCGGACTTCGGCGTGGATCTGAACTTGATCTCTGCACTTCACCTACATTCATGATCCTCACAAAAGTACTGTTATCATTATCATTATCATTATCATTATTATTATTATATTATTACTATTATTAGTATTATTGCTATTATTATCATTAAGAACCTAGCAAACCTCTTGCCCGCCATAAGCGAAAGTAAGGTTTGAATGTACGAGAGAGGTTTTCGTTTTACCTCAATATTTCCTATATATCTCAGAAAGTGGTTGCGCACAAGTCAATGGGAGTGCAGTCTGTGTCGCACCCTGGACCCTTCCAGAAGATACCGCTAACTTACGTGAATAAAAGGAGACCGCGGGACAATAAGGACGCAGCAGGAGGCGCTGCATCCGCACACTTACACGAAGTGACACAAGCCGCAGCTGGGTAGCGGAGGCGCTGACAACCTTTAGGTAAGCATGCAGAGCAGCAAGCATACGTCCGCGCGATCTCGTAGACATGCAAAGCGAACTTGCTGCGCTTAGGGCCGTGTGGCAGGGTTGACATAAGTAGAGGAAAGCATATGTGGATTGCACATTTGAAACATCAATAAAATGACGTCTTCTTTTCAAATTAAACTTAATACTATCGTTATTACTATATTATTATTATTATTATTATTATTATTATTATTATTATTATTATTATTATTATTATTATTATTATTATTATTTGTGCGATTATTATTATTGCTATTTACCATTTCTGCTCCATCCTCCTCTGTACTTAGCTTTGTGTGGTCCTCTCGGGTACCTGCCTTCTCGACCTTATTGATTAGGATCATGTCCCCGTTAAGTTAACCCTGACCTCAGCTAACCCTTAGAGCCAGCAATCGATTGCGTGAGTTGTATTTGACTAATGATAGGGCGATTTCGGGAGCTCTGCCGGAGTTCAGGCGGAACGTTGGAGGCAGGGAACAGTGAGGTATGTGTATTTCAACATAAACCGTAAACCCTAAACCCTAAACCCTAAATCTGTAACCTTTAGGCTGCTACCTGTGACTATGTTAGTAAGAAGGGCACAACGATCTTGCTATGTGGGTGTTCTTTGGAGATGTGGATGCAAAGGGGATCGATTACTCATATTCTTCTCTTTATACGTCACCTAACGATGATGGGTATTCATTGGTTCAGCTTGTTGTGATTGAATGCAACGATGACGATCCATGTCATTTATTTATTATCATACGCCTGATCCAAGCATAAGTCCCCGAAACTAACAACGGTTCAGGGCAAGACTTGTGTGGAGGTAAGAATAGCGGGGAAAGTCTGCCTTAACAGCGATAAGCCTTGGAGTCGGTCAGTGATAAGAGTAGCAAGGATCCTTGGACACCCGCCTTATTGAGGCCTAGCCAGTGATAAGAGTAGCAGGGAAATCCTGCCTTATAAGTGACTAGTCTGATGTAAGAGTAGTGAGGTTTCAAGGACACCTGCCTTATCATTGATCAACCTAACATTCATTCAGTGGTAAGAGTAGCAAGGATTCTTCGACACCCGCCTTATTGAGGGCTAGCCAGYGATAAGAGTAGCAGGGAAATCCTGCCTTATCARTGACTAGTCTGATATAAAAGTAGYRAGGTTTCAAGGACACCTGCCWTATCAATAAACATYCTAGCRCTTAGTYAGTGATAAAAATAGCAAGGATCCTTGGACACCCGCCTTATTGAGGRYTAGCCAGTGATAAGAGTAGCARGGAAATCCTGCCTTATCAGTGACTAGACTGATATAAGAGTCGTGAGGTTTTAGGGATACCTGCCTTATCAGTGACTAGSCATAGGATAAACCTACCGCTAAGTGTGYTTTGGYACASAAGGACCAAGACCCACAAGATTTGCCTTYGTYAGACAAKTTCCAGTAACAAGTGGATATATCCTGAATRRTCTGCCATACCACCGCAACTCTCTCCACAATCTGCATTGTTCAGTCCTAACTAAGTATCTCTGATTCTGCTGAAAGGGGATAAGTGAGATCTTGCCTCAGAGAGAGACTGTCCATTTGTCTGATTTCTTTCCTTGATATTCTTTTCCACAGGTTGGATTGATGATATGTGTTGGGAGAAGGAAGAGAACTCAGACAGGATAATCCCAAAAGGAATAGGAATGAGATAGTGAAAGAGATATGGAGAATTACTGCGACAGTAAAAGGGACGTGAACTGTTGTTCACTACTTGAAGCGGAAGGGCAACAGCCCAAACGATTAGTTAAGGATAGGAGTCAGACAGAAGACACAGAGTCTGGAAGGGACTTCCTAGATCTTAGTTAGGAAGAGAGATGTCAAGTTTCTCTTGGACTGTGTTGTGTCTACAGGTTTCGCCTCTTGGAGGAGACTACGGAAGAAAATCCGTAAGGAACTGCAAATTTTGTTATCTCTGGATAACAGGTCGGTAGAACTCCGACTCAACTTCCACCATGGCTTGACACCCACACCTAAAGGAAGATCTAAGAAAGGAACAGATAAATCTTCCCCTTGTATCTATGCCTAAATTGTCCAAATCACACTCAGAAGTCTTTGAAAATGTGTGAGGTTGGGTTAAATGGGGTCAGGGTTAGGAAGGAGTGCTATTTTCAAGGTTTTGGGGCGTGAGTGACTTGCTATGAATGGATTAAAGGTTGACGCTCGTTGTGCATTTTGTGTCTGCATCTGTATGCGTGTATGTTGTTTCTTGTATCTGCACAGGTGTTGGACATCTGTGTTGTCTTCTGAATTAGGGATCGTCTGAGATATTCGAGCAAAGGGACATGACAATCGTGAAAGTGAGGTCCACCGCTAAGTCAGCTCCCCTATATATATATATATATATATATATATATATATTCTATTTGACGATATATATATATATATATATATATATATATACTTGTGAATGGGATCGTAGGCTGGTCGGTACCTAGGAAGTCATTTTGTCTGGGACTTCTTTTAAGAAGAAAAAGAGATTACTAAGGGTTTGACTCTGACATTTTCATAAGGTCAACAAAGGGGACATAGAGTCATTGTCATAGTTACCTAAGCGTGGAAGATTGTCCGAGAAAGTCGACCAGATTAGATAGTCGGTCCGAGGAGTTAGTATCTCAGGGCATGACACACGGGTCTGTCTTAAGGCGTTCTACCGCGCGTATGCCTATGCTACGGCGATCGAGAAAACGCGCTCGACTGACCTACCTCTGCGATTGCATATAAAAGCCTTTGTACGTGGGTCAGTAGCTCAGCAAGGATATGCCCACCTAAGGGATGGTGACAGATCCCGCAGGTGGAGGTATGTTGTACCTCGCGGGACCCTAACCTATCGTAGGGAGTCGCGAGAGGTATAGCAAGCACGCACGGTCGGAGTTGGTATTTCGTAAAGTGACAAAAAAACTCCTACGTGACACGACCGTGAGGTCCATCACCAAAAACTACTTTAGGTCTGGGTGTGGGACCGCCGCGCGCGACAGCGGGAGGAGGAGCGGGAGAAGGAGCAGGAGGAGGAACGTGGGAAAGTGCAGGAGAAGCAGCGGGAGAAGGAGGAGCAGCAAGAAGGGGAGCGGGAGAAGGAGAGGGAGGAGGACAGGGAGGAGCATGAGAAGGAGCGAGAGCAAGGCGATTATGGCGGGATCTTTGTCACGTTGTTTGGTGGGGAAGGAACGGGAGGGGCAGGAGGAGAAGGAGGAAGAGTGGGAGGAGCAGGAGAAAGAGCAGGAGGAGGACTCGGAGTGGGAGAAGGAGAGGGGAAGGAGTGGGAGTGGGGCTATGGCGCAGGAAGAGGAGCAGGAGGAGGGACGGGGGGAGGAGGGACGAGGGGAAAAGCAAGAGAAGCAGCGCGAGCGCGAGAAGGAGCAAAAGGAGGAATGGGAGGAACAGTAAGAGGAGTGGAAGGAGCAGCAAGAGGGGGGGCGCGCGTGAGCAGGGCTATGGCGGGATCTTTGTTACATTATTTGGTAGAGGAGGAGCGGGAGGAGGACGAGCAGTGGGAGGAGCGGGAGGAGGAGCTGTAGAAGGAGCGGGACAAGAAGCGGGAGGGGAAACGGGGAGGTGGTTAATGAACGCGCAGGAGGCGGAGTAGCGGGAGGAGATATAGGTGGAGGAGGAAAAGCGGGAGGAGCGGAAGGAGGAGCAGGTGAAGGAGCAGGAGGATGAACGTGGGAAAGAGCAGGAGAAGCAGCGGGAGAAGGAGGATCAGCAAGAGGGGGAGCAGAAAAAGGAGAGGGAGGAGGACCGGGAGGAGGAGCATGAGAAGGAGCGAGAGCAGGGCTATCGTGGGATCTTTGTCACGTTGTTTGGCGGAGGAGGAATGAGAGGGGCAGGAGGAGGAGGAGAAGTGGGAGAAAGAGTGGGGAAGGAGGAGGAACGGGAGCAGGGGAAAAAGCGGGGGAAAGAGCGGGGAAGAAGTGAAAGTGGGGCTATGCCGCAGGAAGAGGAGCTGGAGAAGGAGGGGGATGAGGGACGGCGGGAAGAACAAGAGAAGTAGCGGGAGAAGGAGCAACAGGAGGAGCGGTGTCGAGCGCATCGGTCCGGCACCGCATGTGGCAGCGCGGGACCCCCTCGGCCGCGTCACGTAGGAGTTGGACCAACCTTGTTACGAACACACAAAAGAAGCTTCCTTGGGACGCTCCGGCCAAGTGCGCCAGCCATACTTATTGCGAGTCCCTACGACAGGATAGGGCCTACGCGAGGCACAACTTACCTCCACCTTACGGGAGCTGACACCTCCCTTTGGTGGGCGTATCCCCGCCGAGCTACCAGTCCACAGTACGAAAGCTAATCAGTTGCAATCACAGAGGTGGACCAGCCGAGGGCGTTTCTTGTTCGCTGTAGTATAGGGGGTATGCGCGGTAGTACGCCTATCGGGCCCGCACGCGAACCGACATCTTGGGGGGCTGAAGTCCCAAGCGTGGCTCGACGTCGGTCGACTAGGACGCATCCCACACACCACGCGCACATCACTTTACGAACACAACAATAAAACTCTCACACACACATATACAATATGACACAACACAAACAACGTGACAGCGCTTCTAGCCGGGAGCCAAATGGGCGTCGCGCGCGAGACTTAGTATAAAACCGCGCGGACGCAGGGCCTGCTCATATCGACTAGCAATGCAAGCGTACGCAAGCAGTCGCAATGATGGCGTGCTATATAGTACCCATACTCACGCGGTCCTCGTTAATCTCGAGGGTCGCCTTCGACACTCAAGTGTCGGCTGACACGCGCCTTGGGGGTTAATCCCTCGACGCTGGACAACCACCATGCGCGGTTGAAGACCACACACCCTCTTCTGCACCCTGTGCAGAGTGGGTGGTACACAAATTCATGCCTGTGGTGGCAGTCGTTTCTTACTGCCCTGGAAGTGAGGTTCACTCCAGGCCTGGGCGGAAGTCAAGGGATTTGACTTTGACGGTTGCCACGGACTACAACGTCCAACCATACAAACTCTAAAAAGCAAGGGTGAAAAAGAGAATCCCCCTTTCCTTTCAAGACATAATCCGATTAACCCTTACGCGCAATTACACTAGGTCTCTCAAATACTCAGGACACTTATAAATATATAAGGGTTAATTATATAGGATCACTTCTCACAGTCACAGTGCGGCTCCTCTCAGCCATATATGCATGTAATCGCAGGCGAATCACATCCAGAGTCCGAACCACAAACGCACATGCAATCACATCAAGAATTCAACCAAAAGTCCACACACTACAAGGGTTCAACTTTAACCATTCCTTGCACTCATAGCCCTCGCCTTAGCCATACAAGCCTCACTCGTGCAACTCTTAAATAAACACTCAGTACTTTTGTTGGATGGCCATTCAATAAAGTCCGGGTGAAAACACAACAAAACAATATAAATTACAAGGCTAAAGCCTTTAGGTTGAGTGGCAAGATCGGATTGGAGTTAAATCGTAAACCAACGAGTTGGCAACCGACCTGCTATCAGTGATAACAGAAGATGATCCTTGTAGGATCAAGCTGTATTAGTCCAAGTCCTGAATCGAGTGTCCAAGAAAGGCATGTACCATAAGACAGGTCAATGCCCAAGCTAAATCATCTGCATATGGGGGATGAACCTCCATAGCACATTCTCACTCAAAGTTATTTGCCAACTAAGTCTAAGCTTACTTCTAAGCCAGTGCCCAAAGCAAAGGTAGACTAATGGCAGAATCTCCCCTATTCAGGGTAGACCGCCAGAATCGCCACCTGTCAAAATATAATCTAACTCCTCTGAACTAAGAAAATTTCGGCAGCGCTTCCCGTAGAAAAGTGTCTTTTCAAAATTTATATCAGTCCGAATATGAAAACAGAAATAGTCTCTGAGTTTTCAAAGTCCAATTTTGTCTAACTCCCTGAATTAGCAAAAATTTGGGCATCACTACCTTTAGAAAATGAGACTTTCCAGATTTTTACTAAGCCATATATGAACTTTAGACAAGTGGAACTTTGAAAAGTCAGAAAATTGACTAACTCCTTGGATTTGCAAAGATTTCGGCAGTGCTTCCCGTAGAGAAAGTAGCTTACCAAAATTTATACAAAGCCAAGTATAACAAAAGATCCCAGAAAATGCGAGAATTGATCTTAGTAAAACAACTTAGCACAGAAAATGCAGGAATTGAATTAACTCATATCGCTCTAGCACGTGGCGAGCAACTAAAGCAACTACCTATCCAACTGAAACTCAGACCAAATAGTGATCTCACTCAGCCACATGCAGGTCAAACCACAAGGTAAGTACTCTCACCAACCCCAAGTTCTTAGCAACCAATAGTTCATGCTCCCTCTGTGAGTTACCCCTTTATACCAAACTTTCATAAGGCATACGTCAAGCCACCTGAACTTACAGAGTGCGCCCAACTTAACCAGGCCTAAAGTCAGATCACCTAAACTTATAGAGCGTATCTGACTTAGCCAAATATACACGAAACAGAGGGCACAACTACTCCTCTCTTCTTTGGGCAATTGACCAGATCACTCTAGTCGCCTTGAACTGTTTAAATAGCCAAGTTGTATATATCTCTCTGAACTTTAATCTTCAAGATGGGCGTAGGGATGAGTCATTCATCTTAGAAACAATGCTCAACCGGCCCAAGTTACCTTCAATTATATTCTTAATTGTACTCTCTTCAATTTACGATAAGCTATAGTGAGGTCATCCAATCTTATGGAACCCGTGTCTGACTAGCCTGTTTTTTAATAGGATAATAATATAATATAACCAAATTATAACTATAGACTACCTAAACTTATAGAGCGGTCTGATCCTCTGCCAGGTTCGTTCCTCTCTGATCCAGTCTGTGCAAGGCAGCGGGCCAGGCCACCTAAACTTGTAGAGCGACCTGCCTCCTGCCAGAATTACTCCCTCATAACAAAACAGGAAAAGGGCTGAACCACCTAAACTTATAGAGCGGTTGAGACCTCCTCGTTCAGAACCGAAAGAAACTGAAACGAACCCCAAACAAACAAGGCAACCCAAGGTACCTAAACTTATAGAGCGCCCTGGGTTCCTGAAAACCATCCACAATCAAACCCTCACAAGTCAGTGAAGTCAGGTCACCTAAACTTATAGAGCGTTCTGACTCTCCATTCAGTTCACAACACTGGGTCTCCCCAAACTTATGGTGACTTCCCAACCTCCAGAGCTTCAGGCCACCTAAACTTATAGAGCGGCCTGAAGCTCCATGCAAACCAAAATAAACAAAGCGTTGGGCTTCTCCAAACTTATGGGGACCTCCCAGCCTTAACGACCCAATCAATCTGCACACAATACTGCCTTCCTCCCAACCTTACCCCAGATGCAACTCCTTTTGTTCACAATCTGCTTTCAGGCAATCAACGAGGCTGAAACTGAGGTCGCACACACATTCCTTTACTTAGTCCGACTTCAAGTCTTGAAAGTCAACCCAAAGTCAAATACAGGGTTCACACCATACATTCAGTCAACCAAAGAGAGGTGTACAGATAGGGGTTATAGTTGGGTTTATAGAGGGGGGCAGGGAATTACCACTCAGTTCCCTGCCTCCAGGACTTCTCCTGAGTCCCGACATAGCTTCTGCAATCGGTGGGACGAACCTCCCACAAAGGCATCGGCGCAGATTACGGGTTGCAGCCCCGTCTGCCGCCTTCCTCTCCGAACAATCAGACTAGACTCAGAGTAAGAAGGGCAGAAGAAGGGAATTTCAAGCTCTCAGATCCCAGAAGGGTGCACTCAGACTCGCGCGAGAGGGCCTTAGTTCCTTAACCCGCCTGAGGGCCCCGCAATGGCGGCCAAAACACAGCGGTAGCTTGGTCAGCTGGAGTAAGACCGCCGAAATAGACCTTTCGACAGCCTCCTAGTTTGCCGAAATGCCTTCCTTATCGTTGCTCAGTCCCCCTCCCAAGCCATAGCAGCCAAGCATCGCTGTTGTGTTTAGGCAAAGTGCAGTAGTAGTCCATCGACGCTGCGGGCCCTGCCGTGGCGTAGCCTGTACCTGTCGAACAACCCAGCGGTATGTAGCGGCTTACTAACACGCGCGCTTGGCAGCCATGCTTAGCAGCGTATGGTCACACAGTTCGTATCCAACAACATACTCCTGCTCACCCCACTACCCGGTAGCAATTCGTGTTGGGATCAGCAGCGTCAGCGGCACCCTACCTCTAGACCCTAGCGACTCACTCCTCCTGTTGCTGGCGGTGCACAGATGTCTGCAACGATCCGTACACAGTCTCCCCCTCTGGTCGTTACTGCAGCTCAACGCTTGGCTCCTTCCGCGTCACCCATTCCCCGAAGCAGTTGGTCGATGGCCCCGGCCAGGTAGGTATTCACTGCAGTTCACCCCTCTTTAGCTCAGCCCGTAGGCTACAAACTATAGTGGCCAACATGTAAATCTCCACCTTTCCGGCTCCCCTCACAGTATCTCGCTGATGGGATCGAGCAATGCACCAGCCAACCGGTGAACCCTTAACCCCGCTGTCGTTGGTCCCCACCAAGCACCCGCATTCTTACACCGTACGCACCTGGCCCCGGCCATTGACCAGGTCGGGGCGCAACGTACACTGGAGCTCGTCGTCCGGCTCACCCCGCATGGCTGGCTCGTCAGGTAAGTTGCTCTCCCAGTCTCTTTACTCTCTCTTTCTACTCTCGTCCTTTAAACTCCTCCCTCTCTCTCTCTCTCTCTGCGCGCTCATCTACTGCAGAAGGTCGTGCCCCGTCTGACCATGTGCCAAAAAAAGAGAAAAAACGAGTGAATCTTCCGCTAGTATGCGGGAATATACATCGCCCCCCCCGTCGTGCGTACAGAGCAGTCGAGAGAGGCTAGCTTTATCGGTATAATGAGCAACGTGCCGGCTAACAGGTGAGTCTCAAACCTCACGGCTCCCTTCCGCCTCCGCTAGCACGAGCAGATTTTGAATGAATCTGCCTCTAAAAACGGCAGTACACATTACTATTCTCCAACCTGAATACCCCGGCGCAACCTTTTCTTTACTAACCTGTTCTCTCTCTAGTTCATCACTAAAACTAACTACCCGATCGTGTTCGCCCACCTCAGAAAC